TTAAAGCTGATCAATTAAACTGGCTGATGCGGTCACATCTTCTAAAAACAAACAACAAATTTTCTGCTTACAATACCAGGCAGTTAAGGTATTAGCTTTACCTTTTGCAGGTACTGCAAATATAAATCTTTTATTTCTAATTTTAGCTGGAAAGCCACATCTTGGGATGGAGAAGCAGCTAGTTCTTGTAGCTAATGCACATATGCATTGGGATCCTGAGTATTCTGATGTGAAGCTGGTTCAGACTATGATGTTCCTCTCTGAGGTAAAGAACATTATTGATAAAGCCTCTCGTAGTCTCAAACCTGGTGTTTCGGGAGAACTTGGAACCATTCCACTTGTACTGTGTGCAGATCTCAATTCTCTGCCAGATTCTGGTAAGAACAGCAATATTTTACTGTTTTTTTTATTTTATTTTTATTTAGACCATTATTTAAGGGTTGTATGAAATGTGTCCATTGTCTTCCTATAAAAGAAACTCTTTAATTGTATAAGGAATAAGATGGTTCAGGTTCTAAGATACAAAAATAATAATGAATAATGGAACAGTGTTATCCCTTTTTCCAGTTAAATTGTGACTTTGTTGACCATGTAGTGTAGTAGGCATCTAGTATTTTTTTGGAGTGAAGAACCATTTTCAACATAAACGCAGGAAATTTACCATCCCAGAGGCAGCAACCTAAAGCATGCTGCGCTGCTCAGTAGTGGTTGCTGCCTAAACCAGGAGCAGAGTAGCCACCTTTATGTGGTTCTTGGATGGGCTGATTTTTACTGGTGAGTGACCAAGTAGCCTACTCTTACTCTGATTAGCCCAGTTGCATGGACATGACTACACTGCTTCTCGTTTTGAAAGCAAGTCTCCAAAGCAGAAGACCATGCTTGAGAGGGTGCCTTTACCAGGGATGTTAAGTTTGCTATGTAGACATAGCTGTTGTGGGATTGTTGTTCTCTGGAGTGAAAATGCAAAGAAGGTCTTAAAATATAGATCTAAAATACCAGAAATAATTGAAAGTTTACAGTCCAGGGTGAAGCATGCACTTACTTCCCTGGGTAGCAGTCAGATGGAAGGCAGCCTACTGGCTCCCTTCTGAATACAGTCCTCCCATGCTTCCTCTTTGTGCGGACTTTATGCAAGAATTTCCCCCACCGTTACTATTCCTTGTATGTGCTTTTGACAAATATTTCTCTGTTAGGTTAGAAATTTTTCAGGCCTGATACTGAATTCCTCTGTTACAGATACAGGGTTCTCAACATGTCTTGACATCCCACTTCCTTCAGAAGTAGCTTTGACACCAATTTACAATATGCAGAAATATGCACTTTTGAGGCCTTCAGCTTTAAAGCACCCCTTTAGACAAATACTATACATGGCTTTAAATCCTAAAGTATTGAGGGGAGATCAGAGTCCATCAAAATAGTCATCAGCCTTGGGGCAGAGTCCCAACTCTCCAGAGATGTGGACACTTGATGCCAGTTTGGTTTTGAAATAATATTACTGTTTTAATCTTTGGATTTGTTTTGTCTCTAGAAGTATCCTGACCCTGGAGCAGGGTTGGGCAATGCTGGGTGAGGGGTTGGAATAGAACTAGCTTTGATAGACTGAAACTACTTCTACCCTTTGCTGATGGATTCAAGCATCTGTACCATTTTACTTTATTAGTCCGTTTCTATCTGATAGATGCTTATCAGAAAGTTCCTATTTTCTTGACTGATCCTTCTCTGTCTATGGGTTAGGCCTAACGTACATCATTTTTTAGTATTGTAATATTTACATTGACTGCACTCTAGGCATTTAATTTGGGGCTCATTTGAAGTATAGACCCGAGTGCATGGAAACAGCAGTTTCTGTTCATGCAACCCTACTAAATCTGTAAGTTAGTACCTTTTTTCATGTTCCTGTTAATAGGTGTTGTTGAGTACTTGAGCACTGGTGGCGTGGAAACAAATCATAAAGATTTTAAGGAACTGCGATACAATGAAAGTCTGACTAACTTCAGCTGTAATGGGAAAAATGGAACAACGAATGGAAGGATCACACATGGTTTCAAGTTGAAGAGTGCCTATGAGAATGGCCTAATGCCTTACACAAATTATACGTTTGACTTCAAGGTTAGAAATTTATCATTGTTTACAATATTTTGAAACCATTTTCTGTTGCAGGGCTTAATACAAGTTTTCTTTAAATCAGTGTTCTAGGACAGGGGTGTTGGACTCAGAGCTCCTCAGGGGCCAGATTAGCACCCAGCAGCAGCGAGGCAAGCAGCATCAGGGGGCTGCTGGGGGTTAATACAGCTGTAAGTCACACCCATCTGCAGCAGGTTTCCCTACCTCAGTTTTCTGTGGCAAGCCCTGTCCCCAGTCACGTCCTGGTAGGAGTGCTGCAAACCAGATGCCGCTGTATCCAACCCACAGGCGGGATATTTGTCACCCTGCTCTAGAAAAATAAATTCTGCTGGCTTCTAATTCTTACGTAGGTAATGATTAGCTTAACAAATTTACAGTCACCCAGCAAACACTAATTCTTTCATCAGACTGAAAATGAAAATTTTGCCATTTGCAAGGTGGTAAATGCATTCTGAGTCGCAACAGTTTATTTTTCCATGCAAAACAGATTTTGTACTTAGTATCTTTTAATAATCCCAATTAAATAAAACTGGAGGAAAATAGCAGTTAAGCTGCTAACAGATTATATATAAATAGTTTACCACTTCTCTGTGTTTCCCTCCCTGCTGTGTTGCTACATGAGAATTGTTAACATTTCCTTTCTCAGGAAAAGCAAAGATGGTTCTCTTCCCCTCTTCTTCAAATGTGGGGAAATGCGACTTATAGCCTTATGGTTGAGTGTGTTAGAAGGTTTTCAATTTCTGTCTCTGGAGAAGAGTTAATATCAAATACCTCTTTCAAAATACCCTACAAAAGAAAGAAATATATGATTAAGCATTTGGCCTAATGGCAGTTTCCTTACTTTGTTCTTAAACAATTCATGGACAAACTGTAAGAGTAACCAGTATCATTTTAACTAGTATTATTTCCTTATATGAATTAAGAGAGCTATTTGTAGGTAAAACTGCAACCTTCTAACCACTAAGAAACGAGAGGAATGATTCCTGCAAGAACAAAAATACTTGCCTGTTGCGGAACATAGTTTGATATTAGTGTTTTGGCTGTAGTAAAAAGACCCTTGACAGCATTCTAAGCTTGTAAGTCCTCCATTCTGTAAAGAAGCTTCAAGTTTGGTATATGGATGGTGCCAAATCACTGGAAATGGTATTCAGTTGTGTTGAGAGCTAAATTTTGGCCACCGGAAGTCAAAAGGAGTCATGTCATTGTCCAGGATTTAGCAGATGCAAAGTATCAGGTGCAAAAAAAAAAAAAAAAGACCCAGAGGCAGCTTTGTGGTCTTGCAAAACAAAAGAATAAGATAAAAATAACATCTTTGTGTTCGACATACCTGTTCTGATGGCATGTTATTGCAAAAGAGCTCTGTAAATGGAACATCTGTGGACAAGTGAATGGGCAGTGTTATTACAGAGATCTTAATCATTAGCCATTCTCATCTCAGTGTTTAAAGTATGTACTTCAAGAATGAGGATGGAAAAAGTCTTTCAGCGGCACCAGGGATTATCAGACATGTAGGGATTCTGAAGATGCTCATAAATAGTAGGTGAAAAAAATCTGACATGAAATCCCTTCAAAGAAGAGGGATGACAACAGAAGCAAAAACACAATAATCTTTTATGTAACCTTTCCATGACCCATCCTGCACAACTCATAACGCTGGCCAGAAAAGGGAAGCAGAAGCAGCAGCTTAGTAGCAGACTTGCCATTGGGAGGGAGTGGTATCACTTTCAAAATATTTAACTTCCAAAAAAACAAAGTCTTTGAAAGAGTGTTGGTATTTGGTAGCTATTGTGTATCTGTTCTAAAGTTTGGACTTTGGAAGTGTATTTGGCCAAGAATGGTGTCCTGATTATGTTTTCTCCCCTTCTGTTTCAGGGTATTATTGACTACATCTTCTACTCTAAACCTCAGCTAAACATACTTGGCATTCTTGGACCTTTGGATCATCATTGGTTAATAGAGAACAATATAAGTGGTTGTCCACATCCACTCATCCCTTCTGACCACTTCTCACTTTTTGCACAACTGGAGCTTTTGCTGCCTTTCCTGCCCCCGGTAAATGGAATCCATCTCCCAGGCAGGAGGTAGTCAAGTACATCTTAGAGGGTAACCTCAATCAAACTTGTAAAATTGTAAAATCTGAATATAGAGGAGTGAGGTATGGCCAACAGGGATTTTTCTTAATGATCTTAATTTTAAATCTAATTATTTGATAAAGATATAGTAAAAGCCAGGTGCTATCAACAGACACAATTCTGAGCCCAATATACTTTGTATACTGTTAGACAGGGATTGGTGCATTTGCGCCTTTCTTTAATTTGTAACAATTAATCTTCCTGTTTGTTCTATCCAACGTGACATTTTTCATGCCTTGAAATAGGGAATTATTAAACAATATATTCTCTTTGCACAGATATCTGTAGCACTACTTTTTTGAGGCCAGTAGTAACATCCGGAGAACATTCTTCCGTACTTCACTCCCTCCTTTTTCAGACTTGTTTGTAAAATACAGAATTTGAATTTAGCCTTTATTGATTGTATATGAACAACAGAAGACCTGATTTATGAGATTTTGTACTTTAAAAAAAATCAGATTTGGAAAATGATTGTATTGTAAACTAAGGCTAAATTTTTATGTTTTCATGTGTTATAAAGGCCAGCTTGTAAAAGAAGTTGCAACAGGTTTTCTCTGCTAATGATTTGCACTGTTAGGGTTTTGTTAGCCCTTTTGTACTACTTTTTATTTTCAATTGAGAACACTGCTTTTTAAACCTGAATCTGTAAAATGTTACAAATATTACCGAGTACATGCATTTCTGGTTTTCTAACTTAAAAACCTAAGTTCTTGAAGAACAGATAAGCTAAGCAGTGAACAATGAGTAGATCTGTGTGGACTGAAAACTCTCATTGATGTGTATTCATCTAATCTTTTTTTTTAAATCTCGTAATTTTAAGTAAAACTAGGGATGTTTGTGTAAAGCTTAATTTCTCTTGTCAGTACTACTTGTCCTATCTCCACTGTGCCTGCTTCAATTTGTTCTCAACTAGCACTGCCTGTGCATGCAGAGAGAACCTGTTCATCTTCTTTTATCTTTTTTAAATAATGTTAACACTTGTGAAAATTTTATGAAGATACTTTTGTATAAGCTGTGGCATCTTGTTTTCCTTTGTGAAGCATTGAAAATCACACTTTTTTGAACATGTTCAGATTATGGGTACATAGTTTCTAGCTTCTAATACCTATGCACTGCTTCTCTGTGTCATTGCACAGTGCTTTTTTCCACTAAGAAATGCTATCATGTGAATCCTCTTCAGTTTAAGTATGTTTCTCAGTCTCAGAGTAAAAAAAAAAAAATTACATTTTCAGTTTATGAAGCAGTGTAAATTAGATGCTTTTTCAGTACAGGTCCCCAAGACAATTCTTCAGATCACTTTTAAAGTGTCCAACTCATATTTTAAAGTGTCAAGTAAGACTTAAAGTTGTAGTATATCCTCAGTGCCATTAGTCTCATACAGCCAAGTATATAACAGCTAGCAAATATAACTCGTCTTTCTGTCCTAAAAGGGAGAATTTATCTACTCCTTAACTAATACAGCTTCAATTATCAATGTAACGAATTGAGAAAGAGAGCTTGGTCTAACTGCTTTTGTTTCAACTGCGGGCAGGGAAGCAAAAGGACACTGAGCATTAAAGGAAACGTTTTTGAATAGTGTGCATTTTTTTTTTGTATACACAACATGGATTTTGGTAATAATGATTCTAAATTTTATGAAAGAGAAGTCAGCACTTAAATGTGCACAAACCATTCTGTTTTAAACAAAATTGAAAATTACAGATAGTTCAGATATGTAAAATATGTGTTTTAAATTTTAGTAGGAGAAATCTTGATCTTGAATCCTTGTCTGGGACCTGATTCTTTTCTTGTTTTGTTTTTTAGTTGTGCAAACACCAAACATGTCCAGTTTATAATCAGTACATTGAAATGCTGGTAGTGTTGATGTAGTAGACTTAATGCGTAGTGTTATTTTTTTCTGTTTGTTTTTTTGGGTTTTTTGTAAAGTGTGAATAAAAAGTGTTTTACTCATGTTTCCTTAACAATGTGTTGGTAATGTGCATCATGACAATTTCCAGTGATGACTTGCTAAATTGGCACGTCAAACTGAGCAAACTCTTTATTTTCCTGATGATCTGGATTATATAATGGGTCCAGAAAGCTTTACAGAAGGGGAAGGGAAGCACTTATTCATTTTGTATTTCTTAGAGGGGAATAATTTACTTAAATAGATGCTGGAGCTTGAGTGCACTTGTTAGATTCTAAAGGTTTGAGCTTTACACAATACATTTTTCACCTGTATTTGTTAGTCTTAAATATATTTGAATTTATGGCAGCATATTAAAACTTTTATGATATATTGTGTCTTTGGAGACTAGTGTTCTTAACTAGACACATTGCAATCTGTGAATTACTTTTGAATAACTTTTTCTCCACCTTTTTAGATGAAGCCTTCAGGCCAGCCCATTGAATGCAATGAACAGGTTTCATTGACCTCACTGGGTTTGAAACACTTATAAGAGTGGCTCTGAGGCCTACTAAAGGAGAAATATTTTGAATATATAGGAAAAGACCAGATGCGCCAAAACTGAACCAAGGTAAACTTTTATCAAGCAATTTTAAAAGAGAATATTTTCTTGTGTCAAACAAATCTAACTAAAACATCTCAATTTCCAGCTATAACAAACAAAATAATGCAATAAACCATCTGCCTTCACTAAATGCAGAATGTTTGCTTTGTAAATGCTCTACAATATGATTATTTGCAATACTTTTATTTTAAGGTGGCTTTGGATGTTGCCATAATATACCTTCAGTGTTCTTGTTGTAAAAATACATAGCGAAAGTCAGAAAACATTGGTGAGTTTGAGGGATTTCATTCAAGTTATATCGGATATTCTGGGGCAGTTTTTGCCACTTGAAAAAGTACTGTCTGCCATACCTTGTGTAGTTCTTATTTACACACACACACAACAGTTCTGTGCATCTAAATTTTAATTTGTGGTATTTCTTAAACTAAAGAAGTGGAAACAAATACAAAGCATCTACATACATATTGCAGCTTCTTAACATAAAGAAGTAGGCAATAAAAAATCTCCAGGGGAAGGTGTTTGTAATTATTTTGTCCCTTTGGTGACTTCAAAACATTTTAAATTGGCTAGCATTTTGACAATAAAACCAATTTACTTTTACAGCTACAGTTTGCATACAACTCTGATCTAATGTTAACAAATGAGGTTTTTTTTATAAATTCATCTAGGATTTGTGCTTAGAAAAGTAGCTTTAAGGTGTCAGGTTTGCTTTTTAGCCATGCAATAAAAGAAACTATGTTAAAGACAGAATAATTACAACATTTAAAAGAAACTCATTACAATGTAAAACTTACAGCTGTTTCAATTAACTGCTTTAGTAGTGAGCCTTTTTCATCCAGCCGGACACAGTATTTTTAGTATGTTAACTGCTTTTTTTTCCTTTGGTTGCATAAATTTTAACACTTAAGTGTCTTGGAATGTTAAGTAGTGTCCAAAATAGAATATCTTAGTCTTTATTCACAGTACTTCTGTATAATGTGTAATGCACTGGACTAACTCTTGTTTACCATTCATGTAACAAAAACCAGCACATTATCTGCACTAAGCTCAAAGAATGTTGCATTTGTCTATAGGCAGCTCTTCAATAAGATAAATGGGAAACTGAATATGGTCTGATGGTAAACAAGGGCTTTTACTGTTCTCTTCAGTGGAACTTTCTTCTTGGTCAAATTTTAACTAGCTAGTATTATATTTATATATACAGGGTCTTCTTTTTTTCTTTACCAATGTATTTTCCTACTCATAGCTGACCAATAAATCCAATATCTGTTTCAAAATTTTTTGAAGTGTAATTTATATTTAACCCAATTTCTAAACCTTTCATAAATTGTGTGAATTACCCAAGTAAAGTACAAAATCTGAAATTTCTTGAAGACTTAATCCTTTTGTATAGTAATCTGCACACTAGGAACCTATTCAAATCATTCCCGTTGGAGAGGTGTGAACTGGAACTCAAGATACTGCTTCCTTCAGAATCTGGAACTCTATCTTCAGATCTGAAGTGTGGAGTTTGCCTTTGTTTCTATACTGGGTTGCACATCAGCCCTCCCATCTTAACACGGTGTCAACTTGGAGGATGTTCAAAACCATATTAGTAGGTTAAGCCAGCGGTGTTCAACCTTCTAGCTCTCAAGTGCCACGCTGTGGGCCAGATCCCATGGGTGGGGTTGGTCAGTGGGCCTAATAGAGCATTGGGTTGGTGTGTGGGGTTGGTGTGTGGGTGTGATCCTGCATACTGGATCCAGCCAGAGAATAGTCTTGTGTGCCAGCACAGCATTCTGCTGCCACCACTCCACTGTCCTATTTCAAGACCGATGCAGAGCTGAGTGGGCTGATGAAACGATCCCATGGGCCAAATTTGGCTCATGCACACACAGCCTGGGTTAGCACAGTACAGGCCTCCCTACTCCACTGTACTAACGACCTTCTCTTCTCTGCAAGCCAGGTTTATTTGGGGGGCAGGGTGGCGGGGGGTTGTTGTGAGGATCTGCAAAGCAGAAATTTGCCAATTAAGCTAAAGTATGTACAAGGGATTTTAGTGAGTGAAAAACATAAGAGGTAAGTGATTCTTGGGTCAGCAAATACTGTTTTAAAGAATATGATTCTTAGAGAAAGTTTGCTTCAGTTAAAATTTATAAAATGCCTAAACATAAATGTGTACATAAAGATTTTGTTACCTTTAAGTTTCAATTTTTATGGAAAAGTTCCTCTTCTTTTGGTGCTTCTCTTGACAAAATTGACTTTTTGGTTTCCCAAACACCTTTATGAGCTATTGGACATCTATTAATAATCAATCAGTGACATTCTGGAAGTGAAAGAAAGAAAATTCAGATCTTTTTGATGTGAGGGTCTTTGTATATTATTTCTGATATGTCATCTATTTTAAATTATTCCTAGTGCAATATCAAAGATATTTCCTAAAGCCTTCAAAAGGTACAGTTATGTACTATTTCGTTGGCCTTACAGATATTTCTCCTTAGACAACAGTAACAGCAGATCTCATTCAATCCTATTTACTGCAAGCATACATCAAGATTCATGCCTGGAAACATCTGAGCTAAGTCCAGACAGTCAGAAAGCCCACGGCTGAATCGCTTCAATCTTTTCAGGTTAGTTTAAGCTGTGTAGATTGAACGGATAAGCAGTGAACAGACATTCACTTTTGATTCCAGAAATGCAGCCACGTGCCTGCAGTGGCCCAGGCCAGAATCCAGGGGCGGGGGCACCAGAGCACACCTCTCTGCTTGGCTGAAGCAGACAGCTTAGGCCAACGCTAGCCTGCCCACCCTGCAAGGGGAGGGGCTAGTTTGCAGGAGAGGTGCAAAGCATCCTGGGATGCTGGGGGACTGAGTTTAACTTGAATCTGGAGGGGATTTAGTGACCTGGATGAGGGTGTGGAGAGCACCCTGTTCAAGTTCACTGATGACACCAAGCTGTGGGGTAAAGTGAATCCACCGGCAGGCAGGAACCGCATCCAGGCAGACCTGGATAGGTTAGAGAAGTGGGTGGATCTGAACAGGATGCAGTTCAACAAGGACAAGTGCAGGGTGCTGCACCTGGGGAGAGGGAACCAGCATTATGGTTATAGGTTAGGGGCTGACCCTCTCAGCAGCACAGAGGCAGAGAGGGATCTTGGAGTCATGATTGACTCCAGGATCTATGAGTCGCCAATGCGATGGCTCTGCATATTGCTTCAGCCACACCCTGTCCTGCATCAACAGGGGCATCACTTACAGGTCCTGAGAGATCTTGCTCCCCCTCTATGCGGCACTGGTCAGGCCACAGCTGGAGTACTGTGTCCAGTTCTGGGTGCCGCACTTCGGGAGGGACGTGGAGAACCTGGAGAGGGTCCAGAGGAGGCCACTCGTATGGTTGGGGGCCTCCATGGCCAGCCCTATGAGGAGAGGCTGAGGGACCTGAATCTCTTCAGTCTCCGCAAGAAGAGACTGAGGGGGGGATCTTGTGGCTGCCTACAACCTCATCAGGGGCCAGCAGCAGGGACTCGGGGAAAGTCTGTTCACCAGGGCCCCCCTTGGAGTCACCAGAAACAATGGCCACAAGCTGAGGGAGGATAGGTTTAGATTTAGATATTAGAAAGAACTACTTCACGGTAAGGGTGGCCAGAGCCTGGAATAGGCTTCCCAGAGAGGTGGTGCTCTCACCTTCCCTGGAGATCTTCAAGAGGAAACTGGATAGGCACCTGGCTGGGCTCTTATGACCCCTGCCACCCCCAGTGCTCCTTCCTGCCCATGGCAGGGGGTCAGACTTGATCTGTCTAGGTCCCTTCCGACTCATTGATTCTATGATTTGGGTCACGTTCAGTAAACTGATTTAGCGTAAATCAGTTAAGTCTGATAAAACATCCATCCAGGTTTATCTTAAACCAGTTGCAGCCATCTTGAAAGCAGTTTATGTGCACTGAACTGTTGTGTTACAGAGGTGAACCGGTTTCTGGTCACTTACATGAGTTTATGCATAATTTCTGTCCCTAGCCCTGATGTTCAGGATGTTTGGTAAGGCTGTGTAGGATACTTGCTTCAGTTTTGCAAGGTAGATTGTCACTTCCTTATTTTCCAAGGGCCAGTCTGGTCTACTCAGGTTCCAATTTAGTTGCACATGATCAATTCCATTGAAGGCCATAGGTTTGTACATGTGTAATTGAGGACCCAGTCTGACCTGCAGTGCTTTTTTTCTACTGGTGGTGAAGTGAGAGAAGGGAAGAGTCCATTCTTCTTCAGTTCAAGGGGTAAATTTGAGCCACCAGTTAAAATTTTGTTAACTTGTAGTGAGAGCATTTGAAATATAAATGCAGACACTTGTATTGCCTTTTTTAGTTGCATTTCAAAGTAGAAAAACACTCTTGCAGCTTATAGTAAATCCATTTACAATGCAATATGTTGACTTTTCCCCCAGCAGTCTGATGTCCTGTTTTCTTGCAGAACAATACCACCCAGTTCAGGTGGTTCCCATTGTGTTTATTTTCAAACAACATTTGGCTGTGAAACTGTTGCAGGCTCCAAACAGAACTTATGAATCTAGCCCCTGGCTTAAAAGTGTCCCTTAATAAATGTTATCCAACTCAGTATGGAAATGAGACCTGGAAGATTTTAATCATAGTAATCTAGACCTATGCAGTCCTGCCACTAGATGGTGCACATAGTACAACTATTATGCATACAGGCAGTGGTGTATACTGTGTTTTTTTGTGTTTTTTTTTTCTCATGGCTAGAAAGTAAAGTACATATTAACCAATTACTTCCTTGCTGCTGCAGTAGCAGGACATTGGCAGTGCCCTCCTCTTTCCCCTTGCTTCACCTTATGGCATGTTACAGGCCAGAAGTTCTTGGTATTTCACTGGCTTTGGCTATGCTTCAAGGCCTATGCTTTTTTAAATGTGCAGAATTGTCCTTTAAGAATATATTTGCGTTTAAAATGTAGAGCTGGTGAAATCTTACATCATTTCCAACATTTGCCAGCAGCTGTTGCTGAGTTGGCAGGTGGTTAAATTCAGCCCGTACAAATTTGGCTTTCTTGGAAAGAGAATTGGAAAAGGCATAGTTGCATAGTTTAGCAGTGGTAGAATCATTTTAATGCCTTTCTTCCACCATTTTAAATCTTCTGTTTAACTTTGTTTTAAATGATAGGACAGCTAGTCAAGTGTGAACATGGACTCTTACTTGACTCCTCCTGACTTGATACTTATTTTGGAGTCCAGTTTACTAGCAAAAAATGAATTTTATGCAAAACATCATGGAAGTACTAAGGGTTCTTCCTGTGGTAAGAGTAAGATACAGAACAATTGCATGCATCCCTGCAACTGATAAAGAACAGGAAGCAGCTGCTCATGCCTCCCAATACTGGTAATGCTCACACGGCCTGGGCTTCATTATCTTCCACTAAGCTAGCGAAAGCCATTGTATAAATACCGTGTACAGGGTCACTCTGACCACACACAGAGTAGTTAATTCCTACCTGTCAGTGTTCAGCCTCTTCCTTTTGACTTTGTCAATGAAACTATAGGCACCTTCATCACACTTGAATGATTTCTTATGTATTATTCCCCCAAGTTTAAAAAAAATATTGGAAAGTTCAGCTAATTTAAATCATTCCAGAGCTTGTCAACAGAAAGTGTCTATTACCCTTTTTTATAGATGTTAACTTTCTCTAACATAACAAAACAGACAGGAAGATGCTTTCATATTTATTAAATTCAATACTAAATCTCATGTTACAGAAAATAAAAATGCAGTATTTGGCTCTTTAAAGAACAAGCCCCCTTAAACATCAAAGGGTGATTTGCAGCACACTACTGTCCTTTAAAGATATGGAAGTAGATGTAGAGAGAGAGAGAGAGAGAGAGAGAGAGAGAGAGAGAGAGAGAGTGTGTGTGTGTGTGTGTGTAGATAGATAGATAGATAGATACTATGTCAGCCGAAGGCTTAATTGCATATTTTGAATCATAGCTTTAACTTAGGAACGACTCCTATGCTTTTGCTCTTTGTGTTCGTTTTCTTGATGAAAAATCAGATGCTGGGTTTATTATTTTTCTTTCCCTTCTTCCTGTAAAAGAAAAGAGTAACTCTTAATAGTCTAAAGAATAGTTTTGACCTAACTGGTAACCGACTATCCTGTGCAAAACCCTAGAGCTAAAATTGCAGTCTTTGCATTGCCTTTCTCCTATCCCGGTATTCTCACTCTGAGTATGCAAACTTAAATGGGTTGGAGTCCATACACAGACACTCAGTCTCTCTCTCTCTCTCTCCAAGCCATGTGGTCTTATACATGTCTAAGGTTCTTAGCTGCCAAAATAATACCCTGACACTAAACTGCCATGGTATATACATATTATTTCTGTAAAACTTTGGACACAAAACAAGGAAATATAAAGTTCAGTTACAGAAGATGGAGTAATCTTACCTGATGAGCTGCTGGAAGATTGTTTTAATCTGCGTTGCTTTGGGATCCAGGCATATTTGTCTGCCAGTTTTCAAACTTACACTGGAAGAATCATTTAAAAAAAAAAAAAAAGCCTTTTAGAATAATGTTTAGAACCTTTGATCATAAAATTTTATTTTCAGTTATAGTAAACCTGAATCGTACATTATTTCCACATTTTCGCAAGAGGTAGATTCAGGGAAGATTTCTATGGTCTTGATTTGTGTGTGACCGAACACAATTTTATCTGTAGTCTGAAGGCACAGGCATCTTCCACCTCTCATGTTTATTCCTGTAAATACAGAACAATAGCTGCATCAGTTAATGCAGCTTCTTTGGTAAGCACATCAGGTCCCTAAACAAGTTGAAATCCATCTTGGCTTAAGTTTCAAACATTTGGTTAGGTTATGTTTTTTAGTTATCTGCTCTGTAACAGTCAATTAAAATATGAAAACAAAGCAAAGAAACTTACTGTATGAAGCAGTTAGAGTGATGAATGCAAGTATAACAATTAGCTTGCATGCCATCCCTTCTGTGAGATCTTCCTTCCTCTTCTGGGTAAGACTTGTTGTGTTGACAAATCTAAAGCTTATGCTGGTAGACCACAGAGCCAATAGCTTAAATATGTTATGAATGTACTGACGTCCGATGCTAAATTTACACCTTCGGAAATGTCAAGTACGGTAAAAGAATATTTTATTTTTATCAAATAAGTGTTCATTTAATGGAAAAACATATTTTAAATGTATTTCCAGTATGGGGAGAGATTAAGCAATAGTGTCTAAAGATTAGGCTAGTGGTTTCCAAATTTGTGGTCTTTAGATTACCAATGATCCATGGTGCACTTATTACCAATAGGATTCTTTTTGCCAGAGACCCCCAGGGATTGACATAGCCCCTCATCCAATATGGTATCGAGTAAACTTTATTAGTAACCCCTAGACAATATTACAAGTTTCCTTCTTGTAATACGACCTGACAAATCTATCGATTTTTCTCAGCAGTAATCGGTGGGGGTACTGGGTCTCGGGTCTTCCGCTGGGAGCGTGATGTTTGGGATCTTCCATAGTCCAGTGCAGGATGCAGCACCTGTGTCTGTCTTCCCAGAACCACTGCATGCTTGCACACATTAGTTAATACAAAGCAATTTTATAGTTTCATACTAATAATTGTCCAATCCCTTGGCATAAATGCCTCCCATAGTACACCGAGCCTATCCTACTTTTGGTTATCTTTCCTTATAGGGAAAGTGCTATACATTGCTCACCTATAATACTCCAATTACAGCACTTACTTCTTCCAATGCCTTGTAAGGCACCCTGTTCAATTTTATTGCTTAGTTCCAGGAAGGCCTGGACCCTTGCTAAGAGCCTTAGCATAACTCAGTTTGCCTGCTATACACTTGAGTGTCTAAAGAGAGCTGGCTCTTTGCATGGCTCCTCTTCTTTACTTCAGACCCCAGAATTGGTTTAGAAATGCCTAAAAATACATTAAACAAGTTTCAGATGTGTTAATGTCACATAACTGATTTCTACAGCTTCTGCAGGGATAGTATTCAGACTCATAGAAGAACATATTGGAGCACAGAGGAATGAATCCAGAAAATGAGACTGCTCTTGGTTCTGGAGTCGTTCCACTTCAGTATGTGTGTCATGGAAGATTTAAGTCCCCAAGGGATGGAGAAAGATAATGAAAGTCCAGTGGGGAAAGGAGCAGGGAGAGTCTAGGGCCTGATGACTTGGGGAAGAGAGGTCATGAGCTTCCTTTCGGTGTTTAACACTAAGCTCTAAATGCTGCTGTGTCCAAGAGAGCAGAGAGGAGTCTCACCCGGCCTGTAGAAAACCAAAGACTCCTGTGAGCTCTAAATGGTTTTTAAACCACTGTATGTGGCTGTAACAACTGTCACGCGTAGTTGCCATCATAATTGGCATGTAATACAATAGTGCTGGTACTGCTTCCACTGTAACAAACTGAGAGCTGCAGCCTTCCTACTTAGGAAACTCATGAAAAAGTAATGACCTGTTATTCATGGTGTGTATGAGTGAGACAGCTGCCATAGGCTGAAATTTCATTTTCTGTATCATTCTAATTTCAGCATGGCCCACCCGACAATACTTGAGACAGATTTCAAATAATATGTGCCTAAGCAACTAATAAGCATCATCCATGCTCCAGCTCAAACCATTAGATTAGCAGGTGCACTTGCACCAAAGCAAGGGGTTGTACTTGGCTGCTACACGCGATGTATTTACATTGAGACTGCTGGTGAGGGAAAAATAAACTTGTCAAGTGAAGAACCCTTTTCTGGCAAGCTGCATTTGCTACAGATTCATTCTGCAAATCCTGGAAATGTTTCACAGCACAGTCCTGATCCAAAGCCCTTTGAAGTCCATAGTCTAGAGTTTTGCTTTGACAAGCAAAAAAAACCCCAACAAAAAATCTTCACGCTGCTGACTCACCGTTGAGCAGAAGTTCAGAGGGCCGCGCCAAGTATAAAATCACAAAAATCGCTGCGGGAAAACTGTTCTAGCTGTCTACTTTGCTCAGGGTTTTGTTTGACAACTGCTCATTCACTCCCCTACTAACTGTCTGATTCCCTAACATGGATGGCTTATGTCCTGCCTTTGTGCTCAGCAGCATGTGTGTCACCACAAGAATGCTGGACATACATTTTGGTGTTGCCTTCAGTGTATGATCATGGCAGTAATGCGAGAGAAATAAAGAATGTGTCTTACATTCATGAATCACATTATGAAAATGCAGTGCCATCTTGAAAGAGGATCTTCCCTTTCTCATTGCCCAAAGCCCGGCAGCCAGTTCTTGTGGGCTCAGTGCCACACCAAATTGCATAGTAAGATGTTCCATTTTTCACGTGGCTCTGTAGACTTCTTTTGCATTTCAAAATAATAAAATAATAGCCACAGTAGAAAAGCCAAAGCAGCTAGCATTGCCATACTCCAGCAATCGTTCCATAAACCCATTGAATATGCATAGCACGGCCCAACCCTGAAGCTTTTGGATTGGTGTGCAGGCTCAAATCCTAGCCCGGTCCCATTAATGTCCATGATCTTTTACTGTTCATCTGCTTTAGCCAAACCTTGGGATTATACATTCTTTTTTAGACATGCAAGATCCAGCATTCTCCTTTCAATTAAACTTTTTTTGCCTTGTTCAGGAAGATGCACTGGGTAGTCCTCTAGGTGGTGGGAATTCAGAGACGCTAGAACCTTGAAAACAAGCTCTACAAACACAGCTTATATCGTGCTGGCGCGGTAGTTAGAGCAAGCATTGATCAACACACTTCCTACTCTCGTCAGGGCTTTGCTAAAGCATTGGCCATTGTAGGCTTCACTGGAGCAGTGACTGATATATGAACTGTTTAGACAAGCTTCAGCTGAGACGTGCGTACCCAAAGTTGGTACAGGATAACAGAACGAGATGAGATGCGCAACACTTGTCAAGGAGGAGAGCCAGGTACATTGAGCATGGGAGGGTGCAACACTTGTATGATAAGAAGTAGGAACACAGGGATCAGGATGCATAACAGGTTCGGGGCAGCCTAGTTACCGGCAGAGTATAAAATGCACTTTATTTTTATCAACATGTGTTACTTACTAATGTGGGATGATCTGTATATAAAAAAAGCTAGGAATCTTGGCACTTTTACTGGCGGGGGGGCATAGTCTGTGTTAATACCTTGTCTTAGGCAGCCACAGGCTAAAGGGAGAGAGAGCACTTTAATGTGTTTTACAGTCAATAATGATCTCTGAGTCTTCACAACTGAAGATGCCTGTGGTCTTTCTCTGTATGTGGTGAGATCTTCAGACACTAGAGTCAGAGATGAGTGGACAATGTGGAAGAGAAGCTTGTTGATGTAATAGAAAAGGATTTAAACATAAAAAGCACACGGCCAGAGCAGGGTCCTGCTTACAAGAAAGAGCAGAAGGAAGGAACACAAGCTATGCTGCACTGGGGTCTTCACTTCTACCACAAATGCATAAAAACTTGGCTTCAGATCTCTACGGGTCTTTTCTGTGGTTGGAGACTACCAACCCTTTCAACAGATCTTGTTGCACCCTGGGATTTACTTGAGCATTTAAAGCTTCAGCTTATAGGTTGCCTCACTCTGCCAAAGTGCTGGGTTGCTGTTTACAGCTCACTGGAGCATTGTTTTGCTGATATTTAAAATAGCAGAGAGAGCTGCAGCCCCACCAGACACAGTAAAGTATGCTTTTGGCGAGAGAAGCCTTTGTGCAGTGCCTATTCTTTGCTCTGCTTCTCAGCTCCTAGCCACTTTAGAGGCTGAGAGCATTTCACCGCTTTTTTAGTGGTGCAGGGAACTAAGTCACCTTCACAATGTAAATGAAACTGAACCCCAACATTGGGCCTTAGAGGCAACGTTTCCAGGAGTTTTGGTGGGGGCTTGTACACCGGCAGGTACATGTGCATGGGCAGGGGAGCAGCTCTACCTGCATCTTGCAGCAGCCCTGATTGGCTGATCCTCAGGGTAGGCTTCCCTCAGTACCACAGGTGTGCACTGCTCAGTGCCCCTGTCTCTGACCTTAAGCCCATACCCGCTGCCCGGCCACAGTGAAAACCCCTGTGCTTGATGCCCCTGCTTGGCAGTGGCCTGGGTGCTGCAGGCTGCATGCACAGGGAGGCTGCCAACAGCTATCCCACAATTCCCTGTTCATGACTTCCAGCTCTTGCAAGCCACTTCCCATCTCTAACCCCCCCCCTTCCCCACCCCAGACTGAGCCAGCCACAGAAGGAGAGGCAAGGCACCCACAGGCTGATTGCTACAGGGGCTCTAAGGACATGGGAAGCGCCATGAGCTGTGGCCACAGGGGCTGGAGCTCATGGAAGGTGGCCCTCCGCACCAAGACTGCATGTCTGTGTGTGTGCTTGTGTGTGCACATGCATCCATCCTTTATTTCTTAGGTCTGCAAGCATCCAGCACTGCCACTCAGTCATGCATCATATTGCACATTGTGATTTTGCAGCAGCATTTCAACCATTTGCAGCAGGGTGGCATCTGTGTTGCCTAGCTTTGGACCAGTAGAGCACCCCTTGGCCCCCCCACAGCCAAAAGTCCTTGTATGGAAATGTCTTCCTTCCTCCCGCCCTCCCTGCCTCAGAGCATGGGCGCAGTTAGCACTGTTTTAGCAGTGATTATTCCATTTTAGCACCATATTACTTATTTTCAGTTGCTTCCTAGACGGGGTGCAGCCTGTCATCTTGTGCAGAGCCTCGATGGGCTTTTAAATGAGGGAATATCTCCTTTCCTTGCAGCCCGCTTCAGACACTTCCACCTGCACTGTGGGTATCTGCGTTCAAAGCTAGAGGTTATCAGAAGTCATTATAAATGATTTCATCTTGATTAGTCCCTCTGCCTGCCCTTCCAAGAGACCAGTTCCGTGGGTCTGAAAGAAGAGTACATTATGATACATTACCTTTGTTGTAAGTATTTTGCAGTATTTGCCAGCTACTTATCATTTTATGCCTGCAGTACCTAAACCAAATGCTGGTCAGGAGATGCGAAAACCTTCCCCCCTCCTCCCTCGACTTTATTTAATAGTCCCCAATCCATTTCATCTGCTTTAAAATATCCTCTTTCTCCATGCAAAATGCCACCACACTTTGCAACTGGTGCTAAGTGATGCATAAATGCAACAGAGGGATCGCTTTGTCTAGCAATGAGATGCAGACACTGTCTCTGGGGTGAAATTTGGCAACTGTATAATTGCACAGAAACACTATTCAAGGTTGTAAATCAGGTACTTAGAAGCACTTTATGTATCTGATATACCTGAGGGAATGATGCGAATGTAGGTGCCT